AATGCGGAAAAAATATACGGTTCAAATACTCTCCGCCTCCTGTCATCTGAAAAAAAAAGATTATCCATTCAATTTTACGCATTTGGCTAAGTTTTTAAGCCAAGATTACATTTGCCATGCGATGTCCGTACGGTGCACACATACAACGCGATGGCGTCTAAGCAGAGGCAGAGGGTAGCCGTGCGAATTCGTACGAAATCGTACGGAATAAGGGCCCCTGTTGCCTGTAGGTTTTTGTCAAGCTAAAAAGATTTGACAAATTTCGAAAGTCGTAAGCTCGTAGGCAGTTCCTGCACGGGCATTGTTCGGTGGAGTTGCGTTGGTTGTGATGTTGCTTGTACCTGGACTTTTCCTTCCCTCCGGTGGTGTAAGGAGGCATGAATATGTTAAATATGCATAAATATGTTTAAAAATTGTAGTATAGTTCTCCTGCACAAATTTATTTTTCTGCCTTTCATAATTCTGACCACGTGAATGCTAAAATCGTAGGTATCAATTCCGACAACGTATCGATCTTCAAAGAAATAAAAAGCCGCACGGAAGGCGTACGACAACTATACTGAGACTGTAGGAAATTTATTCAACCGACAAAAGTTCAAGTTAGCACAAAGACACGGCACCCGCACAATATGCAAACATACTTGCCGTAGCCCGTAGCCATTTACGATGTCATAAAACGATACGGAAAATCATATACGATTTCTTTATGGCAAATGTAATATATGCGTTTATGATTAACATTACAATGAGAATTGACCATTTCATAAAAAGGTGACATTTAAAATGTCCATAGAAACTGTGTCAGCTATCATTAACAAGAAGCTTCTAATGTTTCTCGGTTCTGGCTGATATAATAAAGCAGGTATTTAGTTGGTGAGGATGTTGGTAAGTATAAATAGCTGGGCAATGGGTTGAAATTAATAATGACAATAAGTAGAAAAAGAAGAAGGAGAAGAACAATTTCATTATTTTAGATTTAATTTGAAGAACATTTTTCAGCTATACCAGTACGATAAAGGCCAATGTTGTAGTATTTTATGACGATCATACGGGGACATTTTTAAATGTTAAAACGAAGAAGTGGACAACCATGCTACAATTAATCAAAAACGCGCCTGGAAATAGCTAAGACGGCAAACGATATGGATTTTTTTACTCTAAAGTAACTCACCGAAACTACCACATTCTCGGATTCTTAAGGAAATGTCCATGGGCAGACGACAAAGCCAGCAGAATATGTTCCGACCAAACGAGTAACCCCGAAGTCCCCCAAAGTATGTCAACGAGAAAGGCCCGAACATGCAAAGTTTTTCTAATTCGGGGTCAACGTTGTATGGACACATCCCATCATCGGAACCCTCATCGGGATGGTGACTTCCCCCAGGTCCCATACAAGGGCGTCCGGGATAATAATCTGGCGTATCAAAGAATATCAAGCAACTGTCTATCATAAAAACCTTCTTCAAAATCTCAGTAACGGTCCAAAGGCTTTGGAAATCAGTCTCAACTTGTGCGTTGTCGCACGCAATCATGGGCTTCCATGCTTTGTGTGACAAAACATTGTGACAGGTAGCGCAGAAAATGTTTTTGAAGGTGACGTTTGCCTCCGTTGACGAGACAGGCAGCATGATATCGATGTTGTCAGACCAGCCTATGAACTCACATTTTTGGCGGACATTTTCATCATGCCAATGACTTGGACACGAGGAGACGACCCAATAATATCTACTGCCAACGCCCCATATCTGCCTGGTGCCCTGTAACCAGCATTCTGTGTCATTGCTGCTTATCTCAACCCCCGTGACTTTTGTCTCCCTGCAGTGGTTGTCGTACGGCCAACAGCAGTCGCCAAACACGTCACACAGATCGTCACAGAAGCAGGTGACCAGAACCACGTCGTTAATTGACTTTCCGTTTCCTTTGAAGCAGATCGGGTTGTTCACTGTGACGTTGAATGGAATCAAACTTCTGGTTGGATCTGCTGTTGAATTGGCTTCATCGTTGGTCCACATTATTGCGACGGGATGGAGGGAATGGTCCGCCAAATCAGAAGCGTTTTGACTTGCACTACTGTCTCTTGGGTTTAAGTTGGGCACTTCTGCTGTGAAGCTGGAGAGACCATAACCTTCATTCTTCACCGTTTTCGCCGTCACTTGTTCCCCATCGACAGACTGATTACCGCCGAAACTGACGTTTCTCATGAAAAATGGCGTTGCAGCATTACTCCAAGTTGAGAAATGACTCGTGTTTCCAAAGGCTTGAGCATCACCGGTCTGCGCCTGCCCTAGACTGACGAGGACAAATAATGCCATCATTAGGATCACCTTCATGTTGTGCATTGGCTCCAATTTCCTGAACATCAGATAGTGGTGCTTTGTAAGGTTTATATACTGATAGCTAAGGACGGACCTTTTTGTTGCTTTATTCCTCATGAAGTGCCGCAAGAGTTGCCTATCATTTTTGGATTGGCAGACGGCAGCCAATGAAAATGAGAGAAATATCACTAATGGCAATGTCCTAATCAAACATTGGTCTTGGGCAAGAAGACGTCTTCGGTATGGTCTTACGTATAACACCTTCGTAAGACGCTTTACGAAACGATTGCATTTTGAAAATGTTTTCCGAGCGTCTTTGTACTTAGACCACGCCTTGCCAATACCAAAGCATTCTCCAGATATTTTGTAATGCTTATCAACGCTTCTGAAGAACGTAAAAATTTTGATTTGGTCGGTGAATAATTGGTATGTATCAACAATGCGCGGCCATCTTTTCTTTTGCTATAAGGAGTACATTTCAAGTTTCGAAAGTATTTATTGCACTCAGGTGTTTTTCTTTGCAGAAATAGTTGATGGCTAATTAATTTATACCTACCTGAACACAAATTCTGTCACAATTATTTAAACGTGTAGGCCTTATGTTTTTCCTAAATGTTTTACATTATCTATACAATTCAAAAAAAATAAAAATCCTATGATAACGTTTTTACTAAACAATACACGTGTGGCATTCTATACTGGTGGCATGGAATGTTTCGAGGTCGCTCTGAACTCGTGAAAAGATCTCTGTTAGTTTGAAGTTATCGAAATACCCATCATTTCTTAGACTCGCGCTTTAAGGAATAGCTAAGCGTAGGACATTATGGAACGAACGCCTCACTTTGCAATTTCACTTCGATGTAATCTATCGTTTTCTTGCCGAACGCGGCGACCGCATGTAATCGCGTTCATGATGTCCATTATTCCAACGCAAACCTGTGTGGCTTACATAATCTATGAAAACATTCAACGTCTTTGAATCGTGTTAATAACGCTTATTTCTCAGAAAGAGGAATGAAACTATGATGTTGTTTAGGGATATCGAACCAACCACACGTTAAAGTACTCTTTGTTCTGCAGCAAGCATTAATCTATATCTTTATTTATAATCTATATCTTTGAATCGTGTTTATAACGCTTGATTTATTTCTCAGAAAGAGGAATGAAACTATGATGTTGTTTAGGGATATCGAACCGACCACACGTTAAAGTACTCTTTGTTCTGCAGCAAGCATTAATCTATATCTTTATCTTCGATGTGAGGGTCTTGCCTTCCATCACATGCACTTTTTCAAAAAGCAAATTCGGAATCGGACACTCGGGTATTATTCCGTCCACAAGTTACATACCTTCCTTTGTTGCGCAGCGTAGCAATTTTAAATTTGCGGAAGAAAAAAGACAATGGAACAAGAATGGATAACTGTGGAAGAAAAAAGAGCAATGGAATAAGAAAAAATAACTGCGGAAGAAAAAAGACAATGGAAAAAAAAGATGATGGCACAGCAGGACCCAAGATCTCTTCAAAAACTAGGAAAAAGATAAACATAGGAATTAAAAGGAAGAAATTCGAAAAAAACGAAGAAAATATGTGTGAAGAGCTACTCTTAGAGAGGAGATCGTTAGATGACATGAGGTTATAGTGCGCCCGTGAATCATCTTGTCAGCAAGTCTCGTCAAATCTGCTGGTTCTTTGAATAAAACTATTTATATAATTGTATTGAGGGTATTGGCTAATTTTGATTATTATGAGGGTGTATATAGCGTAGTTTATCAAATACGAAGGGCATAGGGCGCAATTATGCATTCCAGTTGTAAGCATCTGATGAGTGAACTGACTAAAGCTACTTGGTAGTTGGATCATAAATGAAAATTATCAAACACAAGCCGAAATACTTTCATACCGTTAGCTTACGGCCAACCGGGACGTAGGCCTTTATCAGACTGATGTTAGCAGATTTTGACACTCCCTGAGCGGTAGGTGGTACAACTAAGCAAACGGTATGAAAGTGTTTCGGTTTGCGTTTTATAATTTTCATTTATGATCCAACTACCAAGCTAATGAACATTTTGCTCATTTGCTTGTTTTTCTCAAATGGACGCTGGCCAAAATGGACGCGGGGCAAAGTCAATGGTTTGTATGGTGCACGGGGAGGAAAAGCACGATAACCACCTTTTTAGAGGTACAGTGCAATTACTAATAGTTTAATATGTTGTCTCTTATGTATTTGTGAAATTTGAATATCCTATGAGGAGTTCGTTGTCATTGCTTTGACATTCAACAAGTGACGTGGACGCTAGTCTAGCTGCCGTGGTAACGTGATGATGAAAATTTACACTTGCAGAACTTGAGAAAATTGTATGAACTATTAGTTAGTAATCTTGTGTCAATGTTTATAGTCATACATTTTCAATCTTAAGTACCGCTAAAGTTCGCGGCAGGACTGCAATTTTAGCATGGTGTCCGATATTTGCGAATTTTCTGAGACTATATTTTGTCTGTTGGTAAAAGCTCAATATATGAACAATCTATATATTTTCTTGGGTTTTCTAATGGTTTGGGGTTTTACACACATAAAAAATTAAAACTGCCACCTGCCAATACACTCTTGCTAAAATGATGGAATACTCATTGCATCTACGAATGCTGTAAGTCTATACTAGCTACGACAGAATGTAACTTACAACCAGTTTATTAGTGCTTTATTATAATTCCAAACTCTGCCTTTCAGTAACAATACATTTATTGTGTTTTTTCGTTTGGGTTCATCCTTGTCATCAATTACAAATTTAGTAAATTGTTGACAATTTATAGAGAAGAGCAAACGTCATATTCAAGAAAGCAGGAATAAGATTAAAAAAGCAGAATCACCCAAAGCCAATTCCTTGCTATTAAAAATAAATCTTTTAACTGTCTCGGGTATTTGCCACAAACCCGAATGAGGTCCAAAATTCTTCGTGGTACTGATCTGACCAGTTTCTGGAGTGTGATGGTTCAGATAAAGCCACCCCTCGACAAAAACACCTGCCTCAGCTCGTCCCATGCAGTTGTCTGGACCTCTCTCCTACTAACAATCCACGGTTCACAGCATCCTAACAGACCACAATGTGATGTTAATCAGGAGAAAACAGTCTAGCCCTTTTGCGTAATTTCCAGACCACTAAAGAATTGTTGTCTTCTGCGAGCACATTGAAATGACGCTTTGTATGACCAAAACTAGCTCTAGCAATTTGCACTATTTTTGTCACCAGAACTTGCATGACGGATATTCGCACAGCTGTTTTTCCACCCGTTTCAAAAAGCAACAAAGCTACAACAACATGAACATGTGCAGTCATCCAAGCTGTCAGTTGACTCATGGGTTTATGGACAGGAATGCACAGGGAGTGAATTATACGCGCGAAATATTTAGCATAAATAATTTTGACCACGTCCTCAGTTCTTTGCCAGCGTTACAGATGTATGGTCATTGAGATCACTGTATCTGCTTGCATTTTATGAATTTAGACTTTCAGTTGGCTGCGCATTAATTCTTCACCATTAGGCACCATTAAAAGCTAGCTAACATGCATTTTCACCATTCTTTTTAAGTCATATAATGACCATCAATAAAAACGCTCATTTAGATACATTAAAATTTAGAAACAGGAAAACATGGCCTTTAATACGTTTAGACAGTAAATGTTGAAACCAGAACTGTGACAAGCGCCACAAAAACAATCAGAGAATCAGTAGCTGATACACCACACGCAGAACTGGAATAACCCCAACGAGGGCAGCTGGTCGTGTTTGCACCTGTGTCGCCATCTTCTTCTTTCTGGTCTCCACATTTTGGAAAGTTCTTTGGTTTTGGCGGGAACTGTTCGGGTTCGCCTACTTGGAAGACCAACCCCATGCCGATCTCCACATGGTATTCTATGTGGCAGTGCATGAACCAAATACCTAAATGCAAAGTAAATAGATAATAAAAAGTTCTTTGGTTTTGGCGGGAACTGTTCAGGTTCGCCTACTTGGAAGACCAACCCCATGCCGATCTCCACGTGGTATTCTATGTGGCAGTGCATGAACCAAACACCTAAATGCATATTAAATAGATAATGAAAAAGATAATAATGAAAAAGAGGACATATGTAGTATCTGAATTTTCGAGGAAAGGTCAGTTTGACATCTGACAGATGAGAGAATACATAGGCATGAAAAACCGTCATACTGTACTATGTGTGGATGTATTCTTATTTACATTTCATCAACGTGCACGTGTGTAAGTATGTGTGTGTGTGTCTGTGTGTGTGTGTGTGTGTGTGTAATACGCGAGGACCGGTATGTGAACGTATTCGCGTGTGTTTGAATAGGCGTTACAGGTATCACTTCAGAACGTCATTATAATATAATGTTATTGACTGCGTGTTTGTCTCTACAGATAAGTCTAATAGAACACATTCACCGAAGTTTCATGATTTGTTCATCTAATACACAGTAACTGCTATATATCACTATTATGATTATAACAAATATGTTAATATAAAGTATCATTATTATAATGTGTCCACGCATGAGAACGCTTTCATAAGTTTGTATGCATATGTGTAAGTCCCCTCACCGGGATTATCGGCGACGAATCGAATAACCGTAAAACCCCCATCCGGTACTGTGACCGTGTCCTTTCTGATGGCATCCGTCAATTTGCGTGGAATTTGACCTTTCCTGTCCATTTCCTTCACTTTGTCCAAGGTAATGGACTCGTTGATCTAAAACGAAGGAATATCTGTCAGAATTTGAACAGGTTTCGCATATAACAATCTTACACCTATTACAATAAAAAAGAGAAAAAGGAACAAGAGGGAAGAAAAGAAAAAAGATGCATATTTGCATCTGGTGTATCAAGTATGTAGCCTAGAGAGTTGGACTTAGGTAGAGGTGGTTTTTAATGATATTCACTCCTTTTAATCCTCAGCAATACGATGTTATATTTTGAAATTTAATTCGGTTTACATCTAAGACAACATGTAAGAAAAATTTGCATGATTATTATCAGTTTCACATTAAAATTCCCAAAAATCCGCAGCTTATCTTAATGTTGACTCGATGTTTCTTCAAGAACCTCGAACCGCCACCGCCACCACCACCAAACATCTCATAACCTTTCTACAACAATCCCGTCGAACGTTTTTATTATGAATAAAGAGTGGGAATCTCCTATCTTTTCTGTTATACCTGATCCCATATTCAGCTAACTTTGTGCACTCACCTTCTGTAAGGCAACCACCCAGAATGCATGGCCGTGGAGATGTATGGGATGGTTAGCATTGAAGGCAAAGCCTTCGTCTACCAGCACCAGTTCCACCACGTCTCCAAGCTTCACTTTCAGGAGGTAGATGCATTCACAGAACCTCGTAGTGCAGTCTGTGTGAGTGGTATGATTGCATACCCGTTCCTGAAAGAATGGAATCAATTACAAATAAGATAATGAAATAATACTGGACCTTACGTTAATCGAAGGTCCCGATGTTTCCATCTTATCTTAGTAGAATGTCAATGGATGAATCAAAACTTTCACTTTGATACCAATACAATGTTAGCAATGGTTTTGCACCAAACACGCTGCTCTGATTTTCAATTAAGACAAGCGTTTAGTAATTATATAGTATTGATGAAAGAACGTTCAATATTTCAATATTCTTTGAGACCATGTTATTGTCACGTTAACGCGTCCTTACCATGGGGATATCATCCAACTGGGTGAGAGGAGGAGCTGGTGGCACTTCTATTGATATGTGATTAAACTGTGGTGTATACAAATGCTTATTATATTCAATGGCGGACACTGGGTAGTAGGTAGGGTCGTGGAAATAAAGATTGTCGATTTTGTTGAAATCCATTCCGATGTAAAATTTGACGTCGGCGGTAGATTTTGAAATGGCGGCATTGTTAGGGTCGGTGTTGACGAGGTCTACAACTGGGACGTTCATGTCGTCCTTCTTCCGATTCCATGGATTGAGAAGCTATTTGAAAAAGATAAAGATAAGACTTGTTTTAAGCAACGTGGCCTAGAGATTTAAGATAAGCTGTCCAAATTCGAATGGATCAATTTATTTCTAAACGTATTATATCCAATAAAGCTAAAGCTGAATTTTGTTGTAGGGCCTAGTTATATATTTTGCTGACTCCTACTGTTACATATACATGTGACAAGAGAAAATTCCCCAAACCTTTCCTGTTCGAATGGACGCATTGTATCCCTTTTCTTCTAATGGCTCATCTTTTGCTGAACCTCTATACCTCAAAATAGCTAACTGGTGTGCCCCCTTGAAGCTGCTGTCACAGTCCGCGAGTCCGGCAGCTCGTATCCAATAGTTACCAACTGCCTGCCTGGCATTCAGGACGAAGTCGAAGCGTTCCCCGGCAAATATGATGAAGGTTTCGACCTCGATGGGCTCAAAGGGTCGACCGTCCGAGGTGATCATGGTGATGTTATGGTCATCCACCGAGATCTTGGAGAAAAAACTTGATACGATATAACATATATATGGCGCTTTTATCTTAGAACAGTTACGTTTGAATGCACTTAAACAAGTCATGCAGTTAAATATGTTATCCAACCAATATGATAATTTATTTAGCTTTTAATGTTACATATTAAAAATGTTGACTACCTATGTCACTTCTATACGCAACAAGAACATAAATAGGTGAATAAAGTAAACAAAGTATGCAATTACAGTATTTAGATCTACACGCTAACTCTTGTGAGAAAATTTACATAGATCCTATACCATGGGATTTCATTTAGAAAGGGAGCAGTTTAAACATAGACAAAAGTATTAGTGGATGACTAGATGTGCCGGTGGTTAAGGGTTAATCCCGAGGAATCACGGTGATCACGCTTGTGGTACTAAATTAGTGTGCGCTCACCTGAATTGGACAATTTAGAATCCCGTTACTAGCTACACGAAACCTGTACCTCCTGCCCTTATCTACATTGAAAACAGCATACGGCGTAAACGTTTCGTTGGTTGTTTTATTTCCATATAATTGATACGCTCCTTTGCCTACAAAAATTGATACCATATCTAATTGTTAGACTATAAGTGCATTTTGTTGATCAGTGTTAAAACACGGAACATAGTTTACCCCAAATGTTTTTTTACAATATTGGAAAGGGCAGTTTATGAGTATGGATAGGGTCTTGAAACTTGATTCTGTCAGATGGATAAGATTGAATCATTACATCACTTATATATCAAACTTATATATCAAGTTTGAAATAATTTCATTAATCAAGTTTATAGAGAACATAAACAAATTGGGATATTTAGACAATACGGGTGTTTGGAACATCAGGCATTATTTCATTTACCATTGATAAGAATAGACTGCGGCTTATTATCTCCGTCCCTGTGATGATGCGCAACAAATCTGCTCACTGTCAAATCCCCCAACCAATCAGTCACCAGGATGGTGTGTTCTGTGAGGTCCTCGTCATATAACGCGCTGTGTGGGTCTATTGTTCGCGGCAGACGGACGACCAGAGGCCCAAAAACGCCGTCTGCTCGCTGAACACCCGAATGAGCATGCCAGAAATGAGTTCCTTTGTTGCCAGCTTTGAATCTGTATCAAAGGAAAATACGGTGTTTCAAAAATGCAAGAGATATACCGGGGTAGGTTTAAAAAGCAAATATATGCCTTCAATATTTTGAATGGATGCGTGACTTCTTGATAAAACATATGAATCACTCGAAGTGAGAGAGAGATAGAGAGAGAGAGGAGGGGGAGTGAGAGAAAAAGAGAGAAAAAGAGAGAGTGATAGTGGGTGAGAGAGAGAGAGAGAGAGAGAATTAACTTATTATTGCAGGGATGGAAACATATTAACCTTGTCCAAATGGCTGTAGAAATTAACACTCTGGTTTGTGAATAATGTATTGTTCTTGTACAAAAAGGACGCAAAAAAATTATTGTATTTTTGTATTACGGTACCATTAGGTAATTGGTCTTGATATTTTAGTGTCAAATTTCTGCCACGTTAATAACTTTTTTCATTTTTTTTTGACAAGCAAAAGTACTTGATAGATGATAATCTTAGTGTATCTTAATCTATTAAGAATTATACCACTTTGGTAATCTTATTTACGTGTATCATGTTGAATGCTAAAGATGTGAACAACGATAAATAGTTTCTCTGAAGCATGCAAAAAGACTTCATTATACTACATTATCGGCTCTAATGTGGGACTGATAAGTGTGCTTTTGCTGTTTGATGTAATTGAGTATAAAAATTTATGTTAATTTTATAGCTGTTTTTGATCAATTAGTGTCAATGTTAGATAACTTCACATAAAAGTCAAACTCATTGTTATCTGATATTAAGGCCTACATGAGAGCAATTCATACTGTGGGAGTGAGGGAAAAAGTACTACTTAGAAAATAGTTGTAGAAAATTGGACGCAAACTAGTAACAACTACCATGGCATAAGATACATGCAGATAAGATGGGGTCAGAAACCCAGACTTCGGCAAATCTGCACTGTTAAAAGATCAGTGGCAATGATGAAGATATAGTGATGGCAGACATTTGTAAGTGTACAACTGACAGAACACCAACTAATGGTTGATCATCAGAAGAGTTTTTTTTCCAAGAGCAGTGATTCTCAGTATAGTTTGATCCTCAATACAATGTAGAGATGGTCAGAATGGAGATTCCCGATGTAGAGATCACTGGTATAGAGACATCTAGTGGAGATCACTGGTATAGAGACATCTAGTGGAGAGTTTCATAGTATAGAGTCTTTTCCTAGCAGATAGTTCCCCAGAATAAAGATGGTCCCCATGTGGATCCACACACACACCATGTTCTTTTCCTTTGTCCTATAATTGGTTTTCTTCAACTATTGTTAAGGTTTTAATACACATGAAGGCCGTGTTATATATAGAACGTGCCAGATGACTGCAATTTATGACCAATTTCAAGTTATTGTGATAGTTGGGATTGTGTTCTCTTTTTTGGTTTTCTTAAAGAAGAAGGAAAGAAAATAGTGGCATTTCACCCTGTACCAGAAGGACATGCCAGTACAATGTTAAAGTGGAGAATGATATTGCGATTCATGTACTTGTACATGAACATATTATGAGGAAAAAACAGATAAAAAAGAATGTGAAAAAAAAAAACAAAATGATGAAGTGTCTTGGGAACTGAAGCAAAGAGGTTAAGGCACTCAAGTCATGCTTTTAGCAAGATTGAATTGTTGCAGTTCACTGCTGTCAAATATATGAATCTTAAAAGACTATCTCCAGACATGCCACCAGTTGCATTGCAGTTTTAATATTAGAAATTTAAACCATCTCCAAGAATATTACATATCTATCATAACCTGTGTTGGCCTTGTTAGAACATAGCTTAAAGCCAAGATAAAAGAGTCACACTACATCTAACCAGTCTGTAATAACTGTTGTATGAAGGAAGAACAAGCACATATAAGTCGCTCAATGTCAAGGGTTCGTTTTGCTGCTGGGGCATAAGCTACTGTAAAACACTATTTCCGCAGCTACTTAATTACATGATTTTTCCATTTAGACTAATACACGGGTACCTTTATTGCTCAGTTCGTTCATCAATCAGCTTTGACCTCTGATTGCACTTATTATGCCATATATATATATATATTATATATATATATATATGCTTATCACACCATAAGCCATAATGATAAATACATAAATGAATAAAAGTAAGAAATGAAATATATGAAAGTTTAAAGTAACTCATTTGAGATTGATATTAGAACTTTACACACAATAATTTTATATGGGTAGGATAGCTTGTGGAATATTTAATTCTTCTGTACATGTATTAATTTTTCCTAGTGATAAAAAACAACATTTATTAAACAAAGATAAAAAAGAATAAAATAGAAATTGTTAATATGGTTGAAAAACTGTTAAATATTGGAAACACCATGGCAATGATTAGACCTACATGTATATATCATTTAGTCGTGAATCCTTTACTAAATAATATATACTGTGCTCATATATATTTATTTTTTTATATTTTACCTGGCTGAGGTCTGGGCTCTCAGAGTGTGGTCTAGGTTTAGATATTTGCAGTGTCTGATGCATTACAACTCACCGGTTGCATTCTGTCTGATCTGATCAAGATTACTACCCTCTCAAAACTTTTGATGACAGACAGATATTCTTAATAAACCATATCACCCAGACTAGATTGCAAGAATTTGAAGGGTGTCAAATTTTCAAAGAAACCCAGGTAATCACTGTCAAGAACTAGATGTCTGCTGACATCTGATCTTTTTACAGTTTGCTGGGCATTAAATTCCTTTTTTATATATTTGACACCCATTTCCATCGGACTCTTTGAAATGGCACAAGTATAAAAAGACTGACAAAAGCGAGCACTAATAATAGAATCTCCGACTTTTTCATTTGTCTGAAATCTATTTTACTTTGCCAACAACTGACACCATGTTTGTTCTTAAAGATAACTATGACTTTAGCTGTGATTGACCTCATTGAACAGGTATAATTGTACATTAATACTCTCAAATCTTTTACTTAGTAAGATAGAAACACTGGTATATTCCATGTGTTTTAGCATGCAGAATCATAAATCTGTTTTAAGATCCACTTCGTGATTTTTGTTGAGATTCCAAAATGTGTTAGATAATTACTGGCCACCAGGGACTGGCCATGGGCACTTATTGATTAATTGGCACTTAAACAAGTATGGTTAATGTCTATTTGTAATGCTTATATTTTTTTATGAACAGACCAGACTATATAAGCAATCAAGGTGAAGGTATTATTTTCTGAGAAAAAGATCTACAAATTAGCTAAACATCTCATTTGGGTAATTGCCTGTCTAAAGAGCAGGTGTCTCTGGAAACTAATTTGACTGAAGGGCCATTTACCTATCAAGTTGAATAATCTTTACAGGACAAAGATAATTTTAGGAAAAGTGCAGAATATTTTGAAGGTCTCCAGCTTCACCTTCATAAGTTGCTTCTCTATACTTTGATATTGAAGGCCACCGAAGAGGAACTTTGGTGTTTGTAAATCCATGCAAATTTAAAGTTTTTCCTCATAATATGAAGATTGTTTTGTAGCAATTTAAAATAGGACATTCTGGCATGATATTTTTTCATCAAGATTTTTTAGAGACCACCTTTACCTTACAAGGAACATGCTATGCTGCTTTATTTCAGTGTAAATGAAATAAATAAGCTGATAATAGAAAGATGTTTTTTTAAAGTAATTTAGAAACTCGTAGTGCAGAATTGCAGTTTATAAGGCTTTAGTCATTTCTTTTATCAGTGTATGGAGATATTTTCAGATCACAGTGAAAAAGAATTTTGTCCTGGCAGCTTTAGCTATGTGTAACCTTATATTAAACTGAAAATAAAAGGGAAATGGAATGTGTGTACACTACGTACCTCCCATGTGAAGATTCCCTAAGTGGAGAATTTCTATGAATCAGAAATTTATAAAAGACCATCAACTTTGGATGGCACCTTATTGCTCTGCTTGAGGATATTTTGATCTAAATTATTTTGAAATTATTCTAGCACAAAACTGCTATAGTATGAGTTTTTCAATTTTAAGTGGCAAGTGGCTTTGATTGTACCAAATCCATATCTAACAAATTATATTGTGTCTGAAGAATGTGTTCAGATACAAAGTTTAACCCAGATTTAGTTGGGTTTGTGCATACGGTAGATGATAGATTGAAGATCATATTATGCTATTATAGATAGAAAGTGAGGCATCAGTCATGGATTTACCACAAAACTGTCAAGAAGCAGTGACAATTAATATATCAGACAGATTAAAATTATGGTAATCATGCTTCAAATAGCATTGTCAGGTTCACTTATTAAAAACCAAAAGTACATATTCCCTAGCTTCTACTGCAAAGACGTAAACGTAATGGGTATTTTTAAAATGTGCGTATGATGGATTATATTTTCATCTGACTTTGATCATTAGATATTCTGATAAGTATTTTAAAGCCAATCACACAGTATACATACTCATTTCTGTTTCTCATCTCTTAAATTATTTGATAAATTAAGGCAAGTATGCAATTTTTTTTTGACAAATGGTATGATTTTATAGTTATATGAAGTATATCTTCCCCACAGTTTGTCTTTAAGTAAAGGGAATAAGAAAAATTTGTATATTTGTCATTTTTTTAATTCTGAAATTTTGTTTATTTGTTAACTTACAGATACCCTTGCCAAATGTTATAAATCATCTAAGAGCTGGCATTTATGCCATTTAAAGAAATCAATAGAATTTTGTTACATTATTTTTTCTTCTAAATATGTTTGCTACTTAAATTATCAAATATGCTTTTGATCTTAAAATAGAAAAACTCAAATGTAACCCTATCAAATGTGCAATAGAACCCTATCAAATATATAAATTGTCTTTTGAATAATAAAAAAAAGAACAGCGAGAAATCATATGTTCACATGTTTCCTATGTACAAAGCTATCATTTTGATAAAAGCAATATTTCTGTTCCGTCTCTTTAATCCTGTATTACTTTCCAATTACCTGTGAAACCTGATTTATAGAGCATTGATATGGAACTAG